CGGGGCAAGGTGCAGGTGGGAGCAGGGCTCCGGCGTGCCTTGCGTGGGGACAGGCCACGCGAGCCACGGTGCCGTGCGTGCCCCCCGCAGTGGCACAGGGCTCGTCCCCGTCCCTCGCAAGACAACCTGAAACAGCCCCGCTGGTCCCTGCCTCTCGCCCGAGGGTGCCGCCGGACCTCCAGCTGCTTTTTGCTGCCGATGCGGGAGCATCCCCGGTCCCCTCGGAGGGTGACGGGAACGGGACGTCGCCGAGCACCTCCTCGCAAACCCCACGCTGGGACTCTGCGCAGTGGCACAGGGCTCGTCCCCGTCCCTCGCAAGACAACCTGAAACAGCCCCGCTGGTCCCTGCCTCTCGCCCGAGGGTGCCGCCGGACCTCCAGCTGCTTTTTGCTGCCGATGCGGGAGCATCCCCGGTCCCCTCGGAGGGTGACGGGAACGGGACGTCGCCGAGCACCTCCTCGCAAACCCCACGCTGGGACTCTGCCAGTGCGGGGGACGCTGGGAAGAACTTGTTCCCTGACCCAGCTGTTCCCCAAATACGTGTGTGGCTGCACCCAAATGCACCCCAGCGCCTGGAAGGAGCTGTTTCCTCGTGCCTGATGGGGGCCCCGGGGCAGGAACACGAGAGGGTTGTCCAGCGCCTGTACTGGGGAAGCCCAGCCCTGCACGTCAGCGGTGCCTGGTCGGCGGCAGTGCCAGGCCAGGGGCAGTACTACACACATGTTTGTATGTGTCTGTGTATATGTGGGTATGCATATGCATGCATATCTGTGTGTATATATATGTATGTCTGTGCATGTATGTGTATGTATTTGTGTATCTATATTTGAGTGTTCACATGTATGTGCTTGTATGTCTCTTTATGTGTGTACACATGTATGTGCACATACATGCACATGCATGCATTTGTATGTATGTACACATGCATGTGTGTCTGTGTGCAGGTGCATGCATGAATGTCTATGTGTGCGTGCATGTGCATGCATGTGTGCATGGGCATACAAGTGTGCCTGTACATACGTATGTCCATGCATGTGCATATGTGTGTGTGTGTTCATGTGCAGGTATGTGTATGTATGTGCACAGGTGTGCATGCATGTGCGCATGTGCACGTCCATGTGCATGCACTTATATGCACGTGCATGTACGTGGGCATGTGCATGGGCGTGTATACCTGCACAAACATGTGTATGTGCTTGTGGGCATGTATGTGTGCATGCTCATGAGCATGCATGTGTGTGCGTGCATGTGTGTATGTGCGTGCATGTGCATGCATGTGTGCATGCTCATGTGCGTGCATGTGTGTATGTGCGTGCGTGCTCGTGTGCGTGCTCGTGTGTATGTGCATGCATGTGCATGTGTGTGCGTGCATGTGCATGCATGGATGTGCATGCATGCGCACGTATGTGCACGTATGCGCGCATAAGCATGTGCGCGCACGTGCCTGGATGTGCCCATGCGCATGGGTGCTGACGTGCGCGCACGCCTGCCTGCGCCTGCGCGTGCAGGGATGCGCG